TCCTGCCGGTGGGCACTCAGGATATCTGGGAGCGAGGAGCCGGGAGAGGCGGGGAAGGGGAGAGACGCCCACGCAGCCACCACCTGGATCAGGGGGTGACAAACAGCCTGGAACACCCCCCTGCAAGTGCAGGACAGCATTCCCTGCCTCCTGCAGAGCTGGGGACATCGGGGGGGGTGTTCTTGGTGTCCTCACCTTCCTCCCAGAGAAGGTGAGGGAGTCAGCAAAGTGCACCATGGAGCCCTGGGAGGACCAGAGCCGGTAGGGAGCCGTGAGGGTGTCGAGGGCTGCTGCCAAAATTGCGCTGCTGTGGTAGTTCAGGGATGCCTGGGGAGGAGAAAAAAAGGGGGGGCAGTCACTGGACGGGTCACAGTCACCAGTTCCTTAACCCAGTTCTGTGTATTTACATTAATTGTGTCCTTAAAAAAGGTGTTTAATGGTTATTTTGGGGTCGGGATAAGGAGTCAGTGTAGCAGTTGTTCCAGCTTTGGGATAAGGAGTCAGTGCAGCAGTTGTTCCAGCTTTGGGATAAGGATTTAGTGTAGCAGTTGTTCCAGCAGCCAGTGGGTAACAGTGATTTTTAGGGCTTGGATCAGCGGTGTTTAACAGTAATTCCAGGTTTGGGACAAGCAGCCAGTGTGTAAGAATTATTCCAGGTTTGGGATAAGCAGCCAGTGTGTAAGAATTATTCCAGGTTTGGGATAAGCAGCCAGTGTGTAAGAATTATTCCAGGTTTGGGATAAGCAGCCAGTGTTTTAACAGTAATTCCAGGTCAGCTCTTTCCCAACAAATACTCTGGTGCCAGTTTTCTTGTCAGCAGCTTCTTGGGGCTCCAGTGACTCCTGGAGTTACTCCAGGCGTGGAGGATGATGCAGTAAAGCCTTTTTTTCAGCGCCAGCACCCTGACAAAGCACAGCCCCAGAAAGCACAAGCAGCCAGGGAAGCACGGGGATGTTTCCAAAAGCTGTGGAAATGAAAAGCTGGAAGCCAAATCCCAGTGAAAAGGCAGGAAGAGTCTCTGCTGAGCATCAACAGCATCGTGAAAAGGCACCACTAAAACCAGAGGGCTGCAGGGGGAGGGGGGTGAAGCTGCAAGAGCAGGACTCACGTCATATTTTATGTATGGAAATGTAACAGGAGGCTGTGGCCTGATCCCCAAACTCCCGCTGAGGGACAGAGGGCAGAAGAGAGAGCTGTGCTGGGAGAGGTGGACGATGCCAAGGGCCGTGTTCAGCAGCCTGTAGAAACCGCTCTGAGGATCCTGGGCAGGGGGGGAAAAACAAAACCAATCCAACCTCTGGAATCCTGAAAGGTGCAGACGAGCCCCGGGCTGGGCGTGGCGGCAGCAGCAGCTGGGATTGCTTCTCCCCGCTGCTGTTTGCTGTTTACTTACCGCCAGGTCACTGGTGGCCGGAGTGAGGCCCCAGGACAGGATCCCCTTCCCCGAGTACTCGTCGTGCAGCAGCTCTGTCACCTTGGCCCCCACCCCGGAGAAGCCGCTGTGGAGGTCGCAGAGCACCTGGAACCCCTGCGTGGGAACGAGGGGCAGCGCCTCAGATACCGCCTCATCTCGGGGCAAGAGGCTTCTGGAGGGCACAGGGAGCTTGGCCTGGGCTGTGAACCTGCAGGTAATCACACTCCTCCACGAAGAAGTGCAGCCGATCCTCCAGCTCCTCGAGGCAGGTGGGATCCTGCAGGAGGCTTTCCCCTTGTGCAAAGGCTTCCAGACACCCACAGTCCCTATGGGGGGGGGGGAAAAGAGTTTATTCCGAGCCCTCTGAACTCCTCCTGGAAGGCCCAGCTGGGCTCCTGCTCCGTACCCATCGTGCAGGTACTGCCGGATCACGTGGAGGCTCCGGGGGTGCAGGGGCACGCTGAGGTAATCGGACCAGAGCCTCACCGAGGGGGGGTCCTGCGACCCTGAGGGAGCTGCTCCTGAGGGGAAGAGCAAAGGCCCTTTCAGCTCTGAGCCCCTCCTTGAGAGGGAAATCAGGTCTTGTGGAGTTTTTTTTTTGTTGCTGTGGAGTTTTCGTCCCTGACCCATCTGGGTGCAGGCAAAGCCGTCTCATCCCACTGCTTTCCTTCTCCCTGGCACTGTCACATCATCCCACAGCAGCCCCCTGGCACAGGGGACCTTCTGGGACCCCAAACCCACCCCCCTGGGCACCCACCTGGCACGGCAGCGCCGGGACCCCCCTTCCCGTCACAGGAGGCGTCTCCCTGTGGGAATAAAAAACCCGGCACGGGTGGTTACGGGACGATCGCCCTCGTCCCTCCGCGGGGCAGGGGGTGATGCGGGACCCCACGCGGGACCCGCTCTCACCGTGCGGTTCCCGCTGTCCCGCGGCGCGTCCCGGTAATCGGCCACGGCCCCGTCCCTGCGACACAAAGCGGCGGCAGCTCCGGTGGCTCCAGCATCATCAGCCCCGCGTCATCACCCCGGCATCGTCACCCCCGGCCCGCACCGCCCTGCACTCACCAGGGCACCGGAGCCTCCTCGCTCGCCCCGCCGGGTCTCAGAGCGCCCACGCCGCCTGCAAGAGGAGAGCGTGGGCTCAAAGATGATGCCCTGGGCACGGTGGTGATGCCTCAGGCACGGTGAGGATGCCCCGGACACGGTGATGATGCCTGGGCATGGTGAGGATGCCCTGGGCACGGTGAGGATGCCCCGGACACGGTGATGATGCCCGGGCACGGTGATGATGCCCGGGCACGGTGAGGATGCCCCGGGTACGGTGAGGATGCCCCGGGTACGGTGGTGATGTCCGGGCATGGTGATGATGCCCGGGCACGGAGGGGCTGCCAGACCCCCGCCCATCCCCGGTACCTTTCAGCTCCAGCGCCACCAGCCTCGGCGAGGGGGTCTCGGTGCCGCCGGGCCCCCGCCCGGGCCGGAGCAGCGCGGCCGAGCAGAGCTCGGCGGGCTCGGCGGGGTCGCGCAGCGAGGCGGCCTAAGGGGGGAAAACCGGGAAAAAAAACGGGGGGAACGGGTCAGGGAAAGGCCTAGAGAGCCAACCCCCCCTGTGGGACCCTCCCCCGGTACCTGCAGCCCCCACCAGTGCGCGCCCACACAGCCCGAGTAGTGCCCGAGCTGCAGCGTGACCGCCTCCCCCGGCATCGCCACCGCCCCAGCGACGGCGCACACCGGGAGCGTCACCAGCACCGCCCCCGGACGGGGAGGGGACACCGGGAGTGGAAACGGCAGCCCGGTGTGCCCCCCCGGCTGCCAAAACCATCGGTGATTCGGAATTCTTGGGAGGGGACACCGGGAGGGGAAACGGCAGCCCGATGTGCCCCCCCGGCTGCCAAAACCATCGGTGATTCGGAATTCTTGGGAGGGGACACCGGGAGGAGAAACGACAGCCCGGCTGCGAACAACCATCGGTTGGTTATTCAGAATTCCCTGGGAGGGGAAACAACCGCCCGATCGGTGATTCAGAATTCTTGGGAGGGAACACCGGGAGGGGAAACGACAGCCCAGAGTGCCCCCCCCGGCTGCCAAAACCATCGGTGATTCGGAATTCCTGTGACAACCCTGAGAGCGGACGCCGGGAGGGGAAACAACCGCCCGGCTGCGAACGACTATCGGTGATTTGGAATTCCCTGGGAAGGGACACCGGGAGGGGAAACAACAGCCCCGATGTGCCCCCCTGGCTGCGAACAACCACCGGTGATCCAAAATTCCCTGTGACATCCCTGGGAGGGAACACCGGGAGGGGAAACAACCGCCCGGCTGCGAACATCCATCGGGGATTTGGAATTCCCTGGGAAGGGACACCGGGAGGGGAAACAACAGCCCCGATGTGCCCCCCTGGCTGCCAACAACCACCGGTGATTCGGAACTCCCCTGCGCGCTCCCGGCGCTGGGAACGAAGCTGGAAACAACAACCAACCCGCTGAGGAAATGAAAATCGCGGTTGCTCCTTCCGGGGTAAACTTTTGGGGATCGGCAAAAAACACCTCCCCCCCCAAAACGCCCGGGCAGGCTGATTTATTTATTCCACGCGTGGGCTTCATTCCCCCCGTGCTTTGTTTGCCTGGAAGGCCTCTCTGTCCACTCGGCGTGCTAACCAACATTTCAGACGCTCCAATTCGGTGTCGCAGAACGCGGAATATGTAAAATCCTCTCGTTTAATATCAAATTTGTACGGTAACCAGCGGGAGGGGAGATCTGACCCGCGGAGCAGGAGGGGATGGGCGGGTTTGGGGAGGCAAGGAGAGGGTCGAACAGCCCGGATTTCCTTTCCCTGCCCTTACAGGGGCCCCGCCAGCCGGTCCAGCTGCCACGGGTTGGAGCCGCTCAGGAACTGCAGCTCCGCCTTCCCGTCCTCCGTGCGAGCTGGGAGAGAGAAAGAAAAGAGGGAGATTGAGACACAGATTGAGAGGGAGATGGAGGAAGATGCGGACAGAGCCCCGGGGGGCACCGACCTTTCTCGTGCTGCAGCCACTTGCGCTCCAGGTAGTACCCGTAGCAGCTCTCGAACTCCCGGGGGCTGTAGTTGGGCACCAGGATGGGCACGAAGGGGTCCAGGGCATCAAAGCCCTCCTAGAGGGGGGAAGGCTGGGTGAGTAACAGCAAAAAAAAACCCCACAACCTGTATAAAAATTTATTAACCCAGTGCGAGCCGAAGCTTTGAGGAGGAGCTTTGCTGCAGCCTCTTGTTCTGCAGCTTTGCTGAGGAGTGGGAAAAGCCAGGCCTTGATTTAAGTATGTTCCTCCTTGAAATGTAATAAGGAATAAGGAAAAAAAGGGGTTGCTACAATCCTGCAGGGCAGTTATGACACTGGTTCCGTGAACGCAGGGGAGGAGCAGCCTTGCAGTCACTTCTGAGGTTGGATCTGAGTTGCTTTTTTAACACCCCATCAGGAATTCTCCTTCTTGTTTTGGTTTAACACAGTTCATTCACTATGAGAAATAAAGGGATGTTTTCTTCACATTTCTGAAAATCCACTGACCAGCTTTCAGACAGAGAGGGCTGTTGAGCACTTCAAGCTTTCTACTGACTCCGTGCCACTTCCAGAGTAATTAATTTTTACAGGTTTAGCTGGAAGATGGAGGAGAGAGAAGAAAACACATCCAGCAGTTGTTTGTAGCCGGTGTGAACCTTTTACCAGAGCTCAGTCGTGGAACATCCTGAGGGAAGGGAACCACAGGGATCATCCAGTCCAGGACACCCCAACAATCCCCACCCTGTCCCTCAAGGGATTGTCCAAACCCTCCTGGAGCTCTGGCAGCCTTGGGGCCGTGCCCACTGCCCTGGGGAGCCTGTTCAGTGCCCACCCACCCTCTGGGGGAAGGATTTTCCTGAGATCCAACCTGACCCTGCCCTGACACAGCTCCAGCCGCTTCCTCAGGTCCTGTCCCTGCTCACACAGAGCAGAGGTTGGAGCTGCCCCCTCCCCACATTTTGTCCCCCTGAACAGAACCTGGCACTCCCAACCGCGAGTTTTGTTTCCCCAGGTGAAAGATAAAGAAAAGATAAAGGGAGATAAAGTAAAACCAAGGCCAAAGGAGGCCCCCCCACCCCTGGCTCACCTTGCCCAGCAGCTCCTGGGGCAGGTAAGCAGAGCTGGGTTTGAAGAGCGAGCCGGTCTGGCTGAGGGTGGTCACAACGGCACCTCCACTCTGAAAGGCAGGCGAGGAACAAACCCTGAGAGCTGCAAACACGGCACTGGGTTCACAATCAACCCGCCAGGCACCTCCTTGTCGGGAGGTGGAGCCGCTGGAGC